CTAGCCAGAGTTTCCAATCTTCAGAAAATGATAATCTCTCTTTTGATACTTCAAAATTTTTATAAGAGGAGAATAAAGTTTCAACTTTAGTAATTTTAGATTTATTAAAATAGGTCCTTGAAGATAAATAGGGATTGCACCGACCTATCTTGTGTTTCCCCTCTGTTCGTTTTTTGAACAAGTTGGACAGTTCGGGCGAATAACACCTGGCTTACCGCATCCAAAGCAATAAGGTTCTTTGCGTTGGTTTGTATTATTTCGTGGCCTAGAATTATTACTTGGATAATTACTATCCTGAAGCGCAGCAACTTGTCTGCTATTATTTCTAGAAGAATTATTGAAATTTCTATATCTATGACCCCTTGTATCATTTCTGTAGGAATTGAACTGTCTATTCCTATCATATCTATCATGAGCACCGCTAGTGCTTGCTTTAGGTTCACTAAAGTTATTATTCAAGTGACTGTGACAGTGTGAACAAGAGCTAGTAGAAGCTGAATCGCCATTATTTGAAAAATAGGCTAAACCTGGTTCAAGCGTTGAAATATTTCTCCTTGGAGGAGGTTGATACCTGGATTGTGCCAAATTTGCATCTTCCAGAGCCCATACTTCTAGTAATTCCTTAATATCACTGATAGGTTGTAGTGCGACATGAGATTGATAGCAGGGTAAGATATTCTTCCTAATGATTTTTAACTTGTCCGGTTCTGAAGGAGAATTGATTAAACAACTAAAAAGGTTTTCCATCAATGAAAGATAAACAACGATACGTTCGTCAGAACCTTGGGTGCGATGGCGTATTTCCTCCCACAACTGATCGTCATAATCTGTAGGTAGAAAATCTCGTTGGAGCGCATTAACTAAAGAATCCCAGGAGTTGAAACGATTCTGTCTAGATTGGGATCTGAACCACTCTCTGGCAATACCCTCAAACAGATCAGAAGCAGACTGATACAAGTCCTCTTTCGTACAATTTCTCGCAACTCTCAACTCATCCACACGCTGTAAAAATGATCTAAGTGATCCTTTCTTAAGTGTACCGTCGAATGTTACACTCCACTTATAAATTGGAACTGATTTAGGAGAATTATTTACTTGTTGTGTTGGATTTAAGTTAGGAACATTGACTGTTTGTCCTTTAATATACTGTTCACGAGTCTCAGTTAAATCTTCCTCCAGTGTACTTGTCAAAATAATATTATCACCTCTATAATTCAAAATATTAACATCCGCAGAGTTCTTGGGAATTCTATATAACCGGCCTAAAACATGATTGATGCGACTTCTCACTCTCTTAAAAATTTCTTCGTTCACACCATCAAAATTGTTTACTAAGTCTGTAATGGATTCAATACTTTCATCAATTTCAGATTGTTCAGTTTCAAAATTGAAGTGAGGAGTGGTATATTCAACGTCTGGTCTAGCTAAATCTTGTCGAATCTCTCTTCTGAGAAATTTTCTCTTTTGATCAGTATCAGCTCTATCAACCGCAACATCCCGTATAAGCAGTTCATAGTTTAGTTCCTTAGTCCTAAGGTGATTAGGATCTATATTATAATTGACTCTCATGTTTCAAAGTTCCAACCAACAAAAATCCAATGGCCTGTCAATCAGACAACACCCTGTACTGAGTATTGAGGCGTTGAAATTTTTTTTTTAAACAAGAAAACTCAGTAAAACTTGTTGCAAAATTGAAAACCATGCTAATTAATATGCAAAATGTGGCCACTCGTTCACAACACAATATGCAGTACACCCTGTATATAAAGCAAGTTCAAAAAAAAATCCACCAAGTATTTCAGAAAACCAAAGTTTCCAATCAAAATTATCTATCGAATATCTTACCAATATTTGGGACACCTTGTATAAATATTTTTCACTCAAGATCACCTGATATGGGTATTCAAAAAATTTTTCAAAATATTATTTCAATGCATTATCTAAACACAATTAACGATCGTCACACTGTGATTACCCCGTATATAAAATATCCTGTAAATACAAAATATCAATTCCAAAACACACTGAGAAGTATATCCTGTGATACTTTTGTTTTGTCAAGGAAAAAAAAGGGAAGGTTACAGAGAAAAAATATCTTGCTCTGATGATGAAATGTTCATGAAGTGAATTATTTTCAGAATGAAATTGAAAGGCCCTTGACGTTGTGGCGCCAATTTTATGTGACGTAACTTCACAGAATAGAAATTATGGTCCCAATGCTCGACAGCTCATGAGTCAGGCGAGTGGTCGTGGATTCAACTAAGTCAAGTTTTAATTTATTATTTCAATTTCATGAACAATCAAAACAAGATAGTGTGGGCGCCACCCAGTATAAACTGGGAAAGGAGTAGGGAGGGGACAAAACAAAAATATCAATGCAACAGGAGTTGTTCCGGAACCATGCATATAATCAATATAATAAATAGATACTCAGCAGTAATAGTTACACTTGCTTTCAAACAGTATCAGTATTTAAGTGAAATTTAAATGGGAACCATCACCCTTAAAGCCTACAATATTACTAGCACTTATCTCTGAATTTGTTAGTGAGCTTATGAATAATTGCAGCAGATGTTCCTTGAACAATCTGACTTTAGTCAATGTTGGTTAGTATTACTAGAAATCTTAAATTAAGCCTCACTGTGGCTTTCCAGTGGCAAATGAAATGAATAAATGTCCTAAAGGTGTGTTATGAATTTAGAAAAAGATACAAGGCCCTATGAAATGAACTATCAGCGCTGATATTCCGTTTCTCACAAAAGGAGAGAGTAATATTGAACTTGAAATATCATAAATACTAATCAGACGTGGAGGCTCCTCTTCTCATCACGTTGACGATTGAAATTTTTATGAAAAATCTACTTACAGTAGGTAAGTCACCAGTCTTACTGTAATGTAGCCACTACCAAATATTTCCAGAAAATTACAGTGGTTTTATTGAAATTTCCATAATCCATTAGTCCTGGGTACCTGCTCAGCATTGGTTCAGGAAAACATACAAGGTGAACATTATTTTATTCACCGACATCCATCACGGAGATACAAAATCCGGAGGAATCCAGTTGGAGAGACAAAATGTATTAATAAATATAATACATGGTTCAGGAAAATTAGGCAGCCGCCTTTAAATAGCACATGAAGATTTCATGGCATTACCATGTGACAAAAAAAAAAGGTGAAGGTTGAAGATGAAGGTTGAAGGCCTGAAATGAAATCATTATGATAGTGTTTTCAAGACATTCCGATATGATTCGATACATAATTTATTATAATTTTGAAAATAAATATATCAGTAACTTGCCTAGAGTTGTAAATCGGCCTTCATCATAAAAGGACGTGCCTTTTGAAAACAATAATTTTCAGCTCAAAAGGTGGCATGCTAACACAGCAAAGCGCCATTAGAGAGAGAACGTTTCATTCCTTCACTACTCGATCCTCTCAAAGAATCCCTATTACAATAGGCTACAAGTTGTTATTGGCATTTCGGAACCGCGTTCCGTTTCAGGTTATCGAGTGTGGTGTGAACTAGGCTGAGTGCTTGAAGAGCGCGCAGAGTTCACTATTGCCAATGATTAATTAGGTGAAAGTAATTTTTACGCTGAAGCTGTGCAAATTTAAAACGAAGAATCAGGATTGAGGTTAATGACTCAGTCAGCTGATCGCGAGTATTGTATTGTTTACCGAAAAGAAACATGGACTTGAAAACACATCATGAAATGAAATCCTTTACAGGTGGCATCTGGATATTAAATACGTGCTGATACAGTGTGAAGGACGTCCAACGCGAATAGGAATTTATTTACTAAGGTACTGACTTTGGGTTTTTCTCTATGGTACTGATAATATTTGGTTATTGAAAACAGTTACATTTTGTTCTTGGTGATTGTGTTGATGAGAAATACTTGTTTGGTAGCATATTGTGAGTGGAATACTTCTGTAATGGACAGGTAGACATGAATAGTCTACTGGACCGTTACATATGATTTTTCAGGTAAATAGTAATCTCACATAGTAAGCATTATGAAATGTTGTCATTCCTTATTAAAATTCCTTCTGCCTTCTGCCACTTCTGCAATACAAGCTTATGCTGCTAATAGATTGAAAATGCCTACAACACACACGATCGTCAGCATGTCAGACCAGTCCTACCGATAGATTGCATGAATCCAATCTTCTTGCATTATTCTAGAAATTTCAGGTATATTGTATATTTCTATTAGCTGATCCTATTGCAGAAGGAATTCCGATGAGAAATCAGAGAAATAACCAAATTTCAAAAATGAAAACTATGTGAGTGTCTATAGTAGGTACTTACTTTTGAATCATAATGTACCATCCGGATTTCTTCATCTTCCGCTGCAGTTTTTGTGCATTTTACAACAGCACAATGTGATGGCATTAGCGAATTGATGAATAGCGGAAAAATACGATTCATATGCCAAAATAATTGTGGAAAACTATTTCGATCACTTGTAAACAAATATGTTTTGCCTCCAGGGTCGGTCATCTGACAGTTCTTGCACGCGACCTATTGCGTATTATAACCTAAAAAGAAGACAACCTAACATATGGTGGATCCATATGAAACAACAAAATGAATTTGAAATTATGTTTTGTACCCATTCGTGGGGATAATAGATAATAGTGAATATTCGCCTGAAAAACTTTTCTTGTCCGTCCCTGTCAGTATCAACTGGCTAGATGCAGTGAATAAGTAACTCATGTTGAATAGCTCATTTGACACAGGAAATAGATAACGCCACATGCCGTCCCTTCGAAATTTCATTACATGGCGATTGAGGCGATTTTCGCTAAATGAACAGTCATGTATAACCTGTCACTCCTGTCAGACAGTCTAGATATTTAGCCGTCAGTGGTTTAGTGGATACATCTTAGATCATACAGGAATCTAAGGGATACATCGTGGTGTCCTGAGTCCGTCATTTGTCAAAGTCAAGAAATTAATAACAAGTCATCATTGTCAATGTCATTTCGTGTCTGTTTTTAAAGATTTGAATATATATTTTTTTAGTTCGTTTCTTTGAAGTTTGACTTGATTATTTTGAGCCTCGTTTGCAACCAATTTGCAACTGAATCGCTGAATGTTGATTATTAATAATATTATCTTGATATCGTGTTATGGTGATATGAGTCAGAGATATTTTTGTAATATTTCTACATACACCAGTTTGATCTTGAAACAGTGGTTTTGAGTAGTTTTGACTAGAAAATGAGACAGTTTATGATTTTGTTCTCATTAGTTTATATCATAGACTATGCACAACCTCTTGAGAAGGAATTAACAATATACATTGATCCTGGAACTGAGAGTTGTTTCTATCAGAATGCAAAGCAAGGAGAATCAATAGATATAGAGTATCAAGTAATAGATGGTGGGCACGGAGATTTGGACATTACTTTTCGGCTAGTAGATCCGAATGGTAGGATCCTACTAGTTGATTTGAAGAAGTCTGAGAATAGTCATAGATCTGATGCAGAGATACCTGGAGATTATAGATTTTGCTTTGACAATTCATTCAGTTCCTATAACACAAAAACAGTGTTCTTTGAGCTCATTATAGACAGTGAAGATGGTGATGGTTGGGGATCTGATGAAAAATTTGATTTCAATGCTATTGGTGACAATGAAAATTATGATATAAGGATTGAAGATGTTCAACAAATTATAAACACTATGAGAGACCATTTAACAAAAGTACGGAACCTGCAAGAGTTGATTAAATCCAGTGAAGCAAGAGATAGAAATGTTGCTGAAGAGAACTATTTCAAAGTGAATACCTTTTCCATGGCACAACTGGCTCTGATGATCATAGTGGGTGTGATCCAGGTTATAATGGTCAGAAGTTTGTTTGATGATAGATCCAGGGTCCACAAGCTATGGAAAAATCTGAATAAAGGTCTGCAGAAATGAATTATTTTTTTATTATCATACAGTGTGAACCAAAGAACCAAAGTGAAGGAACCTAAAATGTCTTTCTTGCTTTTCATCTCACAGAAAGCAATAAAATGTATCATTACCATGATAATCTTGATAATTATTAATGAATAGTATGAGTTCTGGTCTAGTCTATTTGTATCAACTGTAAGAGATATAAGTACCAGGAGAAAGTATTACCACAAGAATTGTCCATGAAAAATATGACTTAAGTAAAACTTCTGGTAGGATAAATCAGAGTTCCAAGAAATTAGGATTTTTTTGCAAAAAATCGAAATTGGTTATTTGTTTTACTAGGCTAGCTTGGCTTGAACTATCAGCTGCAGCAGTCAATCAACATTTGCTGCCATGTAAAACATTTAATTTTTTCTATTACTTGGATTGGAATGTTGAGTAGCAACAAACTTTTCCTGCTTGGGCAGAGAAAGTACACCTTTCCTGCCTGTTGAGTGTCAGAGAAAAGCCACGTTCTATGCTGCTTGGAGAAAATCCTGATTTTTTATGTATACTAATTTTTTTGGTTTTACTGATTTTGTTCCCAAATATGAAAAAAATGAACTTCAAAATCATTATTTTTCTCTTTTCACCCAAAAATATTGGTTGTCTAGCATCACAGTTGGAAAAGGAAAAATTTTGGCAGCATGCTGGGGCTTTCTTGTGTGAGAAAGAAAATTCGTTTTTTCACTTACACAATGTTTGTAAATACTTATTGTTTTAAATAAGCTATCTTTCTTTTGTTGAATATGAGATTTGTTTCCTGGACTTGTTTTTACAGCAATTAATAATTTGATTTAAATCATGATGAAAATTGAAAAAATCTGTTAAATCATGATTTGATTTAAATTGTCACAATCCTGGAATAGGTAATGTTGAATGACTAGCATTTGTTTAAGCAAAACTAAATTTAATTGAGATTCTTTCTGGTATCTGCTGTAATTAATCAGTTTCATCAGAGATAAAAATCCGGTAGTTGAAACAAACCCCTATAATAAATCCAGGTGATTAAGTTTCATTCTTTTATTTTGTACATGTACAATTTCAAAATTGTTATCAAAACTATAAATTCTATTCAAATATAATTTGTTTTCTGTTTTAAAGAACTCATTTCATTTTGTGCTCTAAAAGATGAAAAAAAAAATTATGTTCCTGAATGCGGTAGTTGAACGTTCTACTGGTCTAACCAATATACATATACAGGGTGTCCCAAAATTACTGGGACACAGGGCTACCACGTGTAATACGAGTCAAAATAAGTTGAGCAGACCCAATTTATTTAAATACCAAAATGTACCGTTTGTCCGTGAGACGAGTTCAAAGTTAACATAGAAAAACACATGTTTGCACGTTAAAAAATAAGAAACAAATCGGCTGAAATTTAACATAAGTGCACATTTTAGAGGATAACCCTTCTTTCAGTAATCAAAGAAATCTGAAAGAAATGGTCGAAGGGTTGAAACCACCCTCACCTCCTGAAATTTTTCTCAAAGCATTTTTAGGGGTGTTGATAGGGTTCTCAAATTTTTTAAGCGAGATGACTGATTAATTATTTTCATTTTTATACTCCTGTAAAAATTTCGTACTCCACATGGTTACAAAGGAAAGAATTTTTTTCTTGAATAATGCTGATAGGTATTCTTAGTAAAAGTCGAGGTAAAAGTTTAATAATTATAATAAAAAAATTAGTTGACAGTGGAAACAAAGGCAGAACGTTTTTTTTTAAATTAATGTTTCTAAGAATGTTCTGAAAAAAATTTCAGGTGGTGAGAGTGGTTTCAACACTTCTACAATTCCTTTCGGGTTTCTTTGATTACTGAAAGAAGGGTTATCCTCTAAAATGCACGTTTGTCAAATTTCATCCACATTGTTTCACTCATTTTCGGACAGCAAAAATGTGTTTTTTATGTGAACTTTGAACTCGTCTCACAGACAAACGGTACTTTTTATTATCTAATTTTAAGTTGGGCCAATCAACTTATTTTGAATTGTATTACACGTAGCTTTGTGTCCCAGCAATTTTGAGACACCCTGTATACTTTCAAACAAAATCCACAGTTCAGTTAGTATAAGTACTTTCTGATTTTTTGAATTTGGAAGTCTCACCTTTATTATTTCTGATAAACCTTCCCAATGTGTTATTTGTTCCATGAATAACTGTCTAGTCTTGTTTATGTAAAACTCAAGTTTATTTTCAAATTCCTATTGTGTGTGTTCAATGAATGTAATTTAATGTTGTGGCATATAGCCAGAAAAATATAGTTGCGTTTTCTTTTGAATATACTGGAAATACTACAGCAGATTAGCTTGTGCACTTTTTGAGAAAGGCACTAAATTTGGCACAGAGGTAGACCAATAAAATATGAACAAATATGGATGTGAAGCCATCGGCCAACTGCAATCTGGTGTATAGTAGACGTTTCTTGATTGACAAAAATGCGATCACGGATGATTTTCAAAGAATGTCACTTATTTCACTCATTTCAGGTTAAACTAATAAACAAAATGATTATAGGTATTAACTACATACTTCATGGTGAAACAAATTGAAAATTTTGTTCAAAATTATGTCCATCTGCTCGAATAGAATTTCAAAAACTTTGAGCAGATGCGCTTGGGTCAATTGTAGAAACGTCCTTCTTGTGATAGCGGCAACACGCTGCACTGATTTTGTGAATAAGACTAGCCATATCTTCTATTGGTTCTTCATAGACAACGTTCTTTAGGTGAACCCAAAGAAAATCTGGTGGTGTAATGTCAAGGGACCACGCTGGCCACTTTATTGGTCCATTAATGCCAAACCATCTTTTGGTGTATTCTCTGTTTGAATACTTCGTTACAATTTCGGCACTCTATCCTGCTGTAGCCTATTCTTCTAATAGTTCCGGAAGTGTAGTTTGAAGAAATCTTAGATATCGATCTGTATTAAAAGTGCCTTAGTAAAAGTAAGGCCCAATAAGGAATCCGTTTATCATGCCGCACCAAAAATTGATGCAGGGCCTACTCTATCACCGGGCCGGAGTATCGCTTTCGTGACGTCACACTAGTAGGGACAAAATCAAAGCAGTGGAAATTGTCTCTAATGTTTCATTGATGTAACTCGGGAAAACTTTCACTGATTTACGATCATTAGTTTCAGAAATATATTCAAAATTGTCCTTTTTTAAATAGCTACCAAAATTCTAATATTCAATTCACAGAAATGATTTAATCATGAAAAGATTTCTCATAGTATCTAGATTGACTGAGTTTTTTTTTAATTCCCAAGGGCCAATAACAAACCGATATTTCAATTCAAGTAGAACGATGATTCAGGTGTTCATTACAGAATAGTTCAAAAAGTTCGGACGCCTCCCATGCTAATCCTATCAACTGTGGATATATGCTGTCACTGACTTTTTTGTAGGAAATTTAATTGCCTACAAATCGGTATAATACACATCCACTTTATCTCGAAGGGTTTTAGCAGCGTTTATGTCTAAAGATGATCAGAACGCACTTTGATGACGTTAGAAATCCTATCACTGTGTAATTGCACGATTACTGGAAGAAAGTGATATTATTTGATCACGTAGAAACGTTATTTTTGCTTTGAATGAATTTTCAGTCTGCACAAATTTGTCACAAGAAATTACACTATTCAGGTTTTCATCGATCTCTTTCGAACGCCAATGCAAATCATTGATTTCTCTATCGGTAGGTATACGAATTTAAGTAGTCACATAACTTTCGGAATGTACACCAAGATTTCAATTTGTTGTCTTTTCCTAAATATTCCCTAATTGTTTCATCACTATCGTTTATCATATAACTCAAATAATAAATATATATAGAGCAATCATTATGTACCTTAATAGAAATCAACACCTTTGGTACATGTGTTGAATCTAATTTATAAAAAAAAATATATGATCGGTAGCAATAATATGACTAAATATTGAAAGATTCACATACATTTCTTGGTCCTCTAGTATCTTCTTCTTGAATTCATCATAACTCTCAATGACATCAAATTTCTTATTTTTTCCAGAATCTTCCTATTTTCATCAATTTTTTAGTTTCTAACTCATCGCGTCTTTTTTGTGGGTCCGTTCTGTTGAGTGGTAGATTTTTATTGAAATAAATCGGTTGATTTTACAATTTTGTCGGGAATGTATCATCTGACAGTTTTGTGGTCGGGATCTTTCGAGTATTATTAATGTCCCATCTTTCCTTTTGCACTGATCTGCGCGTATTATGAATTTCTCATCGAAGTGTTTTATACAAACGCGGGAACATTTTTTTCACTTCAAAATCATTTCTATGTATGGCCGAGCACCATTTTTTCCTCAACTCAGGGTCTTTTGGAAAACAGTCACATAATTGAGGTTATTTTTTGTGGAATACTTGCTGTCGCAACAGAAAACAATGCATTGAAATAGCATTATTATAATTTCACCCTGTAGAGTAAATCAGACTTCAGAACATTCTCATTACCTAAGTATTACTTTTTTTATTCGAACATACTTATACCTGTCTTCAATATTCCATTCAACACTAGCACTAAAACAATTCGTACGTCTGAACCATACGCCATTCAGAAATAAAATGAGTAATAAAAAGTATATCGCCCTTTACCAGTCCCAGGAATTACCGCGAAATCGTAATACAGCGAAATTTGGGTAAGTAATTAGGTATAATGACCCATTTTTTACGCGCTCTTTATATTTAATTTCTTTCGGACTCATTTGGGTGGTTTTATCTTATTCCGATTCCAAATTTGCATAAAATATTATTCTGTAGTACAACGTCCTGATTTTCAATAAAATGGAATCTCTTTACAACGCCATGTAGGTAGGTTAGGTAGGTTCAATGTAAGTGGGGCGAATACTGCCCCTCCACTACGACCCCAGATGGGTCTATTGTGGATCACCTCTAGAAGTTAAAGTTCACTGTACAACTCACACATCTTTTTACAAAGTTCATGGATGAGTTAGGTGAGATTTGTCTGAAATCGATAGGTTCTAAATTGCCAAATTGGTAAAGCCAAATATATCGAACCTTAGTCTCTCTAATAAGAGCATGAACATAATATGTGTTCAGCCGTTTCGTCTTCCACAAAGCAGAATCGACAGTCCGTTTGTTGGTTCAGACCCATCCTTCCCAAGTAGTATCCTAGACGACAGTGTCCCGTAAGCAGTCCTGTCAGAATTCGCAGGTTACCCCTGCCCCATTCTAGGATCTGCCTGGTTATATTTTTCGATGGTTTAGGCAGAAACTCCTTCGAATGGTTCAACCCTGGTCTGACCAGTACATGAGTCTCTTTCCCTCCAGTCCAGGCACCCACACCAAAGAAACTCTGTTGTTGGCACCCAGGCATTCTAGGGATTCAATAGAGCTCCATACAAGCTTGGAATTTATCTTGCTGGAGCTCAGTGCCTTAAGAGCAGCCTGACTGTCTGATACAATGCTGATATTTTTGTTTACTAGAGGTCTATTCGTCAACTCTAGCACACAATTCAATTGCGAAGACCTCCGCCTGAAAGATTGTAGCATACTTACCGAGATTGACAGATTTTCGTCTTCGGTTTTCTGCTCAACACACCGGCTCCGACTCCGAGAGGGGTTTTTGAACCACCTGTGTACATCACGTGTTCGGTCTCTGGGAATTGGACTGATCCACTTACCCACTCGTCTCTCTTCGGAAAGAGGACTTTGGAAAACTTTTTCACGTGTGTTTGAGTTGCCAACATGTCGGGAACCATTCCTAGACTTTTCATTTCAAACAGTATCCCGGAGTGGTCCAGCAGTCGCTCCCCTCTAATTTGTTTTTCCAATGACAGGAATCTGTAGGAAACCATCCTGGCTTCCCTCTCCAATACAATGTGGAGGGGAGTTAGGTTCAGGAGGTTTTCCATCGCTGCCGTTGGAGTAGAGGACATCGCCCCTGTGATGGCCAGGCATGCCAGCCGCTGAAGGCTAGCGAGCTCTGCCCTGGCTGTTCCTTGCAGACCTTTAGTCCACCAGACTACCGAGCCATACGTGACCATTGGGTTTACCATTGTTTGGTAAATCCAGTATATCTGTTTGGGGTTCATTCCCCATGATTTGCCGCACACCCTTCTGAGATTCCAGAGGAAAAATCTGACATTGTTAATAGTTTTTGCCAAGTGGGCGTTCCAGAGGTGAGTCTTTTATCTAGGGTGACCCCTAGATATTTCACCTCCGCCGCAAACGGAATGCTCTCT